ATTTTCATAGGATTGAGTTGTGTGTTTGGTTATGGGTTATAATTATTTGAATTATAAGTTTTGAAATTTTTTTTCAAAATTCATAACCAAATAATTTTTTTCATTTTAAAAATTCAAAATTAAATTCAAAACTTTTTTCAAAATTTATAATTAATAAATTTAAAATATAACTCCACACTCAAATTATAATTTTTAAACCAAACCAAACACAACTAACTTTTTCGGACTTGTTTTCTTGGACTCCAATTGTGACTGAGTCTACGCACTCAAATTATAATTTTTAAACCAAACCAAACACAACTAACTTTTTCGGACTTGTTTTCTTGGACTCCAATTGTGACTGAGTCTACGCACTCAACTCTATGTGAGCCCCCAAGTTAGGAATGAGGATCCTCTCCTTACAGCTCTCATCCTTGCGTCCGTCCTTACAGGCTTTCGGGTCTATTTTTAGGTCCAATTTTGATAATCCGAACCGTTCATATTTTATGATTTATTCAGTATATCATACCTGTAAAAAATCAAGTTGATCGGATATCAAAAAGTATGTGTTCGGAAAACTGTTTATTAAATTCTTTAAAAAATAGTTTTTAGTTCAATTTTTCGAACACATGCTTTCTGATATCCGATCAACTTGATTTTTTACAGGTATGATATACTGAATAAATTATAAAATATGAACGATTCGGATTATCAAAATTGGGCCTAAAAGTAGACCCAAAGGCCTACAAGGACGGACGCAAGTACGAGACTGCAAGGAGAGAACCTTGGCTCCCAAGTTAGGCCCACTCCTCATTAATCTTTCGCCCATAGTGGACCTCCCTTGACCGCATTTGTAAAAGGCATCAGTGTCCTTGAAGTTTGAACAGTTCAAGACCACCACCACCCACCACGTAACCCCCTAATGATTACATAAAGAACACTCCTACATTTTGAATTTATTTTATTTTATTTTTAAATTTCATTTCTCACTTAGATATTTTTACATGTACATTTTGTTTTATAATATAAAAGTACATATATTATTTTATTTTCGTTTCTCACGTAACTCCCTGGTGGTTGTGTATAGGATAAGGGTTAGTATAATTCTGATTAATTTGATTTGAGGTAAAATTAAAAATAAATTAATTCATTTAAATTATAGAATCAAGTTGAATCAAACTATTTAAATACAGTTTGATTTAATTTGGAATTCTAATTTCACATAATCTATTCACAAAGAAAAATCATATAATATTTTTATTTCAATATTAATCTATCTATGATTCTTTTAAACATGAACATGCATATTGTTTTACCATTAATTTAAACAAATATAATATTTTTAGTAAATAAATATATTGTTCAACATATAAAAAGTATAAAAACTCCTATCAAACAAACATTGTCTGTGGCAACAACAATTACAAAACTAAAATAAAAAAGCAACAATAATAAAAACAGCACTGCTTCATAGAAATAACTTCATGATATGCATCAGTCGTGTATGGTATGTAGTTTAAGTTATATATGATTTGGATTGATTCTAATACAGAACCATGAATTGAAATTTGGAACCGATCCGTAGGAAACGGTTCCTCAACTTTCCAATCCATAACCGAACTACAGATTCAAAAAATCAAACAAAACATACCGGATTGGATTGGACCAATTCAATTTGCGGATTTTACGAATTCCTTACTCAGCCCTAATATAGGATTGAGAAAATGGCCTGTCGGTCCGAAGCCTGACTAGGCTCGGCTCGACCTCTCCTGTGGGCTAAGGCCTGGACCATGGTTTTTCAGTCCCCGACCCAGCCCACTGGCCCGATCAAGGCCCTATTTGAGGCCCAGCTTGTGTGGCGCCCGACTTTATTTTCAAACTATTTTGGTGAAAAAAAAATTTAAATCTGTCTCGCCCGACCCTCTAGCCTGCCCGAGGCTTGATTATCCCTTAGGCCTGAGCTTGGATCTAAGCCAAGATTTCATAGAAATGGTTCGGCTCGACCTGGGTTGATTTTTGGTGAGAGCCCGATAGGCCCGAGGGCGGATTAGCTTGAACTTGAGCCCAAACTAGTTAGGTCAAGCGAAAATAATACCCCTAGTTTGTAGCACCCTTTATGGTGTGAGATCTTAGGTTAAATTCTTATATAGAGGAATTTGATACCCTTTATGATGGTTAATTTATTTCAGTCAAAGAATTATACAAAAAGTCAAAGATTTCCATTTCTGTCTATTTTTAATACATATTTTCATAAAAGTCCAAAAAATAATCGTGAGCGTACTAATTTTGTTCACTTTAAAATTTAATCAAAAAAATAAAAAATTATTAAAATAGCATATTTTCAAACCAACCCTTAGTGGTTGTTAGATTTGGTGGTTAGTTTGTTTCCCCCCTATTATGAGGTTGTACTTTGAGGTTTGGATTGTTGGGCTTCAGTTTTGTTGATTTTTTAACTATTATAGATTAGTGTTCTATTTTCTTAAACACAGATTAGTGATCTATTCGATAATATAAATATTTCTCATAATTACACTCTTAACTATTGACAATTTTTTATTTTTTTTTTCACACAATAACTACTAGTAAATATATATGACTAATTATAAACCCCAAGGGGGTTGGTTTACTGGTCAATTGTTGAAGTCTCGGAAGTAGCCCTCTTGATTTGTGAATCCACGAAGAATGGAGAAATGTATCATATGCATCGTTACGTATGTTTGTAGTAAACATTACGTAATTTTTTAGGGCAAATTACATATACACCCCTCGAGGTTTGGCTAAATTACAAATACCCCTGAGGTTTGAGAAATTACGAATTCCCCCCTGAATGCTATATTTGCATAAGAAATTAGGGGGTAATTTGTTATGAAATATAAACCTCAGGGGGTAAATTGTTATGAAAATACAAACCTCAGGGGGCGAGATGTAATTTCCGAAACCTCAGGGGTATCTGTAATTTAACCAAACCTCGAGGGGTGTATATGTAATTTGCCCAATTTTTTAGTATTAAAAAATAAAGTTACGTATTTTATGACATAATTTTTATCCAAATGTTTTTTAGCAAAAAAATGTGTAATATTATCACAAAATACGTAATTTTATTTCTAAATCACAAATAGTCAAAAAAAAATATTACATTTATCAAAAAAATATATAAAATATATCACAAAAATACAACTAAGGTGCATATGATTCACACTTTTCAAGAAGTATATACCATAGCATTATCATGAAGATTGCCAAAAATCATTTTTTTCTTACATAAGACGAAATTGACGAAATTTTGAAAGGTTGTTTATTTAAAATTAAAAAAAAAGAAAAGAAAAGAAAAGTATGATATGTATCAAAAGTTATGCTTGAAATTCATTGACTTAGCCTGTGTTTGGCAAGTGAGTTTGCAGGTTTTTTTGGCTATTTTAGCCACAAAAAATAAAATAGGCTATTTTAGCCATAACAAACAAAACATCACATCCAACCCATAATCATTACATTCTTCTCTCACAAAAAAACTCAAAAAAGCCAAAAAGTCAAAAAGCCCTTCCCAAACCAAGCTTTTAAGCCCAGGCTAAAATAGCCAAAAAAGCCAAAAAGTCAAAAAGCCAACCCACTTCCCAAACAGAGGCTTAAAGTGGTGGTGGGATCTCGATGAAAAAAAAAAAAACCAAAAAAACATAAAATAAAATAAAAGAAAGTGGTGGTGGGATCACCTCTGGTCAAGCTATTGAGATTTTGCTTAAAAGTAATATATATTAGGGTTAAATGTATTTTACCCGTTGTAGTTTGCAGTTAGAGTATTTTACCCTTATCGTTCAGGTATAATTAAAAACAGGGTAATTACGTGTAGATCTTAATAAGTGAATTTATTGTTTAATAGGTCTTATGAAAAAAATTTATCATAAAAAAATGTTACTAATTATAAGTTTTAGTGACAATTTATAAAAATCAAGATAAAAAAAGTCACTAATTATTAATTTTTAGCAACATATATAACAAATTGTCATAAAAAAATTATTTTATCAACAATTTTACGAAGACTTATTTTCAATAGGACTTGATGGGAATTAAGTCCAACCATTAAGACATGTGATTTTAGAATAAAGTGTTATATTTAATTTTTTTTATAACAAAAGGTGTCTTACACACAATTTTTTAGAGTGGGTTTTGTTTTTTAAAAATTTAAAATGAATTTAATACAACTAAATGACAATTTTACCCCATTTTGTCTAAACCTAAAATTAAATTATTATGTTAAGTAAAATAAAATAAATTAAATTAAAATATAATTAAGAATTGATCTAAAATATAAAATATAATTAAGAATTGATTTAAAATATAATTAAATAAAATACAAAATAAACAATAATCAAATTGATCTAAAATGTAATTAAATTAAAATTAGATTAAAATGTTAGAAATTATAATAAATAATTAAGAAATTAGGATTAATTGTGATCTAAAATATAATTAAATTAAAATTAGATTAAAAAGTTAGTAATTACAATAAATAGTTAACTATTAAGGATTAATTTTGATCTAAAATACAATTAAATTAAAATTAGAATAAAAATTTAAGAATTTTAATAAATAGTTAAGAATTTATAATTAATTGTGATTTAATTGAATTAATACTAGACATTATAAATTATGTGTATGAGAGATAAGAGAGAGAGAAAATAACAAAAGATATAGGATTTGGGGATATTATAATCATTTCATATCTATAATTAACAGTTGTATTTTAATCTAAAACCAGATGAGGGACATATGACTATTTTTAAAAGATAAGGGATAAAGTGTTATCTGGCTATACCACAGGGGGTAAAATGGATTTTGTCCTATGTATTATACTTTCAATCAATTTAAACTAGCTTAGTTGGTCACTCTTATATAGATTGTTTATTTTATTTTCTTATTATGACTATTATTTTAAAATATATCGGAACTTCCTTTGTTTCATAATTTGGCTAAAAATATTAGCTGGCCTTTCATGCTTGTAATTTAATTGAACAATTGATATGCAGAGATTGTATGAATTGGGTGGTCGAAAATTCGTGTTAATGTCGCTGAATCCAATAGGGTGTAGTCCAATGGTGAATGCAAGGCTACCAATGAGAAAGGGCTGTGCACAAAAGCTGAACTTGGCAGCTCATCTCTTCAACACCCATTTGAAGTCTTTGGTAGATCTCATCAAGCCTCACATGCCTGGCTCTAACCTGGTGTATGTTAACTCTTACAAGATCATTAGAGATATCATCAAAAACCCTACTTCCAAAGGTAACTGTATAACTACCAATCTACTATTCTCTACTCAAGTTAGCCTTTGAAAATAAATATTTGGGAAAAAAAATATGAGATAAATGGGAAATGGTAAAAAATAATTGAAGATCAATAAATTGCAAGTGAAAATTGAGAACCGTGTCACTAAAGTACATATATATCTCACTTGCACAACATTGATTTGTGATTGTTTTCTCTTTTTTTTTTTCTTTTTTTTTCTCATGTTCTAACATATATGAATTTCATGATGATTTGCAATTATTTTTTCCGTTTGACATATTCTAACATATTTAATACATTTCTTTCAATTTATTTTATCTTATTTTATTTTTTGGGTTTGTTTGTTTTGGAGTTTTTTAAAAATGGATTCAAAAAATGTTAGGTCGTTTTCGAGAAGAACCAAAAGGAAGTTCATCTTCCATTCTCCAGATTGTAAAAAAACAAAAAGCCATCTTTTTTTTTCTTTCCTTTTTGATTCGATCTCACCATGTCTTATAACTGTTTGAGGGTTTTAGATAAAAATGTTATAAAAAAAAAAGAGAAAAAAAAAGAGAGAGAGAATAGCATCTTTATTTGAATTAGGGGTGTTTGTGGATTGGGTTTAGTCGGTCACCTTCCATCCGCCATTCGTTCAAACTTAGGCAGATTAAAAAAAATCAATTTGCATCCGTTCGTTTAGTTAGCAAATGTGAATTGAGCGATCCGTGTAGATTGACAGTGGATGCATATTGATTTGGCGATTTGAGCTTTATTATTTTATGCGCTCTCTCTCTCTAATAACTATTTTAGAGTAATTTTTTTATTATTTGGGATCTTATTTGAGTCTAAATTTTTTATATTTTTTTATAATTAAAATACAGATCAAACTTTCATATTTCATAAATAGCTACTAATATTATTACTAAATAAAATGTCATTTTTTTAACATACAAAGTATAGAAACATGCCATCATTTTCTTAAGAGGGGTTGGCGGATCGGGTTGTGTCAGGTGTCTCTGCAGATTTAGAAAATCTCCATCTGCATCTGTCTGCCCATACCATCGAACTACTTAAAACTAGGTGCATTGGGTCGGATTAGTTGGTTTTGGTCGATCGATTGCGTCCGTGAACACCCCTAATTTGAATACCATTTATTAACCAATTTTTTGAAAATTCTGTTTATGATAGTGCTACATTTACCATACATTTCTTTGTTCCATTCATTTAAATCCCCAAACAACTCAAGAAATTGTAATATAATAACATCTGGCCAATATTTTTAACTATTATCAATGAGGGTAATATAATGTAACTTTATGTTTTTCAGGTTTTAGGGATGCTAGCAATCCTTGTTGTGAAGTAGCATCAATAAGTGAAGGTGGAAGTGGAGTTTTATGCAAAAGAGGAGGGACAACATGTGCAAATAGGACGATCCTCGTGTTTTTTGATGGGTTGCATCCAACAGAAGCAGTGAATGATCTGATTGCAAGAAATGCTTATGCTTCCAATCTCCAAACTCAAGTTTATCCCATTAATGTCAAACAACTAGCTCAAATTTAGGTTTCTTCTCCTCTAATAAGTTGTGTTGGTTTCTCCCAATCTTGAACAATGTATGCTTAGTTGGTACCATGGTTAATTATCAATGTATCTCTCTCCCTATCTCTCTCTACAAAAGGCAATAAGGATTTTTCTCTTCAATCCTATAAATGGACTGGAGGTTCCACTTAACGGGTTGCTATCAATTTAGGACCTTCATTGATGATTGAATTCGTTCCTTTTATACGATTTGTTAAGTAAATCATTTATATAAAAATTTAGGTTTATTGAATATCTATAGCTATTTAATTGAATTAAATTTGTCAAAAAAAAAAAAAAAAAACATTGACTACTCTAAAATTTTTAAAAAAACTTATTAATTATATTTTTAGTACAAATATGATCTAATCGAGTGATTACCGATATCCAAATAACTTAATTTTTTCTCCTCCACAAACTAATGATAACCAAATGATAAACCGAATTTTTTTTAATACCGAAATCATGTGATTTTAAAATATATTTTCCAAATCCAAAAAGGTTTGGAATTTATTTTTTAAAATTCATACATTATTTTTAAAGTCGTTTCTTTAAAACAAAACTTCACTTGGGGTGCTATTTGTTTTGAGGGATTGAGCTATAGAATTGGACTAATAATCTATCCGGACTAATAATCTGTTGTTTGATTCAAAAATTTTACACCAGACAATTAATCCCAAATCTATTGGACTATTTGGGCATGTTTGATTAGGTGGATTAGAGTATGGGATTGTGATTATTAATCCGTGAACTCAATTATCTTATATTTGTTTTAACATTTTGGTTTAGGATTATTAATCCAATAGATAATTAATCCAACAAATTTGTAGGATTACTAGTAATGGAGTAGGGGTGGGATTATTAATCCAATGGATATTAATCCAATTGGATAGTGAATACCACACTAATTTAACAGGATTATTAATACTTTACTATTAATCTTCTGAATCAAACATGACCTTTCTGTCTTATGGGAGGGGTGGGGCACAAATGGGGGATAAGAGGGATATGGGATTAGTTGGCAAAATGACCATTTTGACCCTCTACTATTTAATTGTGTATTATATTTAGTAAAATTTAATAAAATTTAAATGTCTCAATTTAAAAATAAAATAATCTATTTAATTTTTATTGGTGTTTTATTTATTTAATTTTTTAAAATAATCTTTTATAGATATTTTATTGATGTTTTATTTTAAAATTTTGTTTATATTTTATTTAATTTTATTATTTAAATTTTAATAGATGTTTTATTTGATTTCATTATTTAATTATTATTTTTTAAAATAAATTTATTTAAAATTTTAATTAAAAAATAACATATATTTTTATTTAATTTTTAAAAAAATAAATTTATTTAATTGTGTAAAAAAAATAAAATAAATTTTTATTTAATCTAGTTAAAAATAATTAAAATATTAAAGATATGTTTAATATTGCTATTTCTTAGTAAATAATTAAAAATGATAAAATAGTCATTTGAGCATTTATCTTTTTCCATAATATCTCAAACAAGCATAAGATTCATATTCTATCCAACTAAATAGTTATTTCCTGACACCTGATCCCATGACTAAACAAACATGAGATACAAATTCAGTCTAACTAAATAATTCAGAAATAATGTATCCTAGAACTAACAGTCTAGTGGATACCAATCCCCTCTTATATAATCCATCCAAATAAACACATTCTTGTTGTATAACTTTTTGAAGTTATATTTTGACAAAATGACAAAAAACTCATACACAAGAAATAAAAAGCAAAAATAAAAAGGAAAATCTCGAATCAATGATATAGTATTTTTTCTATGGAGTGTGAGTTTGTGCTTCTTCTTCTTTTTTTTGTTTTGTTTTGTTTTATTTTTTTAGTGTAAGCCTTTTATGTGGGTCAGATTTGCACAAAAAATATTTCCATGTAATTTATTTTTTTTTAATCTGTTCCATTCATATGCAATTCTCCCCCTCAAAAGAAAAAAAATAAACACAGAAAAATAAAACATGTAATCATTCAAAAAATACTAGTAGTTCCGTCATAAACTTTAAACAAAGTCAAGTATGGAACTAATTAAATACACATTCTAAATTTTAGAAGGTTGTATTGACATTTTTTTTTTTTTTAATCAACAGTAGAATGTTAGTATATTAATAAAGTTATGTTACAACTTAAAGGAACCGCCATTGATCCATTAGTTCAAATCTTAGAACTTTCAATCACCATATCCTACGACATGGTTACATGCCATTCGACCACAAAAGCCTCGGTTATATTGACATAATTTAAACATAAATTTTGTTAACAAATGTCTCACGACACCTGTAAATAAATTTGAAATAGTTGTCCACACTTCACAAAAATACTATGGTGTCAAATATGTATAATTATTTTAAATCTTATTAATTAATATTGTTAAAACACTTGTAAACAAAATCTTTAAAACATTCCTCGTTTGTTTTGGGAGATAGAATGGAGGGGATTGATAGTGAAGGGATTGATAGTGAGGGGATTAATAGTGAGAAATTGTTAAATTATTTTTATATAAAATAATAAAACAAATAAAAAATATAAAAATTAAACATTAATATTTTAAAAAAATTCCCAATATATAAAAAATAAAAAAAATAAAAAAATTCTAATCCCCTCACTATTTTTCTAATACCATTTCTACTTCCTCCTTACTAATCCCTCTTCCTCCTCCTTACTAGTCCCAAGGGATTACTAGTCCCCTCCCTATCTCTCAAAATAAACACCTCATTCTCAATCTCCTCCTCACTATCAAACCCAATCCCCTCCCTATAACTCCAAACAAACGGGGCCAATACAACACACAATTGGGGCCATTGCTATAATTAATTCAAAACTTTATATCGGCCTACTAAAAGAAATGGTACAACAATTTTGATATTTATATTCGGTGTTATTACTCGATCAAATATATATATAAGTGATATTATAAATTTAGAATGAATTTTACAATAAATTCATTCAATCTCCATATTTTAGGGAAAAAAATTGAATTGTTTTTCTTCTAAATTTTCAGACTAACTTTTTTATATGAAAGGGATTAAAAACTCAAAATTATTTATTCATAAATAATAATTAATAGTTAAAATTCATTTCACTCATAAACCTTCATCAATTTAATCTTTACTACATAAATTGATTATGGATAAATTTTGAGATCATAAATATGAGTTTCTATGGCCATTTCCTATTTATATTTCATTTTCAACTTTACCTGCAGCCATGTTTGATTTGCTTTTCAAAAAATTTTCTAAAAAATTAAAAATTAATTTGGTGAAAGAAATGAAAATATTTTATAATACTTTTCATTTTTATATAATTTTATAAGAGATCAAAACTAATTTTAAAAAAAATTAAAAATATTCTTTTAATATTTATTTCAAATTAATTTTTATTTTTTAAAAAAGAAATTCTGAAAATTTTTTTTTGAGAAACAACCAAACAAGTCCAGTCTCAAGATTCCCACGTCAAAAAGAAAAAGCATAGAATAATGCACTAGAATATCTGAATTCGGCTCCTTTTCCGATAGGGTTGTCATTTGGGTACAAGGAAGGAGAAGTTATTGATTGGTCTCAAACAATATCACGTAGCGTTATTATGATATTATTAGGGTGGGTATAGGTTGATTCCGGTTACAGAACTTTTAATTTATCATTTGTTTGTTAAATTGACAGATTAAAGAAAAATTAATCTGTATTTGTCTGTCAATCTGGTAGATATGAATTGAGTAGATTGGAGGATGAATGTGAATCAACTTAGCGATTTAAAATTTTAAAAATTTTCAACATAATTCAATTTGTATACTTTTTCAAATATATGTATATATATATATTACAACTAATAATTTTAAAAAGTATTACAATTATTGCATGCCTTATCCAAAGAAAAAAAGTTTAAAACTTTAGAATATTGCAATCACTACATGCATTATCTACATATTACAATCACAGTATGTCTCATCCACAAAAAGTATTACAATTTTTAAAATATAAAAACAATTCAAACTACCAAACAGTAGTAGAGATTGTATGCCTCTGTATTGTTACATTTATATCTATTTTTGAAAATAAAAACCAACCAGCATATATCATCTTTTTTATTTATTATTTTTAGAGTTAGGTTTAAAAACCAAAAAAATATAGATAAATAATATATTTATTTTTTTCAATTTAAAAAATATATTCAAGTTGAAAACTCGTTTTCAACAGAATATATTCAATAGAATATTTAAACTCTTTTTCAATTGAAAATACAAATAAAATATCTAAATAAATTGAAAATACAAAGTCTTTCAAATTAGTAGGAGTGTTCGCAGTTGCGGCCAAAGAAATCTTAAATCTACCATCCGTCTAAAATTAGGCGGATTGAAAAAAATCAAAATGCGGGTCAAGACTACCGTCCGCTCGTCATCATGCATCCGTTCAAAATGCGACAGATTGATTCGCTTCAGTCAGTTTCCGCAAATCAATATATCCGCTACTTAACTTTAGATATTATAATTAGTTAAAAATATTAAATTTATGTTGAATGAAAGAAAAATATGAAAAAACATAATGAATTATAACGGATAAGGGACATAATTTCTTAACGGGTCAAGACTAGCTAATAATTTTCCACGAGTGGGTGGATGTATCCATCATGGAGAATTTTAATAATTTTTCACAAGTGGATGTATCCATCATGGAGAATTTTATAATATACTCGGATATATATGTATATATATGCTCCTAAATTGTGCTGCTTCAATATATACATATAGAAGCATTTAGACATGGAGGATTTTATGATATACTCGGGCGTTCAGTTGAGGGATTCTCTGTGCGGCGTTGGTGGGTTGTACAAAACGATGTTATTTGTGCTGCTTTAAAAAAATATATCGATAGTGTTACATGTTTTAATTATTATAATAATTAATATATTAATTATTATATTATTATTGATCTTATTTATTATATAAATTATAAATATTATAAAAAATTTAAATTATGTTATATCATCAATTGATATACTAATTAGTACACTAATTAACATATATAACATTATTCAAATATATATTTATTATAGTTTTAAAAATTATAAATGCTCTAATGTTAAAAAAATTTACTTAACAGAATTTTTTTAAAAATAAA